ATTGGAACCTAGTTATGTACATTATCAGTCTTATCTATCAAAGAAATTGGCATAGAACCTGATTTAGCAGCTTTACCAATTAAAGTTTGGGGATTATTCAATGGAAAAAAGGTACAAATATCCCAAAGAGCCTTAATTAATACGAAGTCTTTCATTAAGTGATCCAAGGAAAGATTTTCTATAATAAATACAGAAAAACCACCTATTATAATTAATGGTATAGTAACTAATTAGAATATTTTATTATGAAAATTAATGAAAGTCAAATATTTATAATGTAAGTTAAACCAGAAGAAAAAGATAATTCTGTTGATAAATAATATTAAAGAACTTTTTTGTACAATATTTAGATGAATAAATAAAATAAAAATATTTTATTTTTTTCATGCTTAATTACAGGTACAGTATGCAATCATAAATACATGTAATAAAAAAGAAGTATATAAAAAAAAAAGGTAATCCTAAAAAAAAACTTTTTATTAATCTTTTTTTCTGGGATAATATTCAAATTATTATGGAGTGTATATTTTTTTTTAAGTTAAAATATGATATTGGAGAAATTAAATTTGGAGCGTTGCGTAAACTAAACTAAAAGAAAAATAATTAGCTAAGTAGTATTTGATTTTAATAAAAATAAAGATTTTTAAATTGAAATTTTAATTAAATTAAAATTAAATTAAGTGCAGATTACATTCTCTGTATTAATATTTTTCTTTAGTGCTAGCAAAGTCAATGAACAAGTAATTAATTAAGTGGAGAAACACCTAATTAAGACATTATAAGAATTTTATTGATAAAACTTATTTGATATCTCAGTAGAATAATGATAAATTAATAAAATTATTAGAATCCAACTCATTGCTCTAAATAAATAAGATTAAAGGAGTATAATGTAAATATAAAGTTTCTACTCAAGTATCCGGAAAACCTTAGAGATATATCCTTAGACCTTTAAGTAAGGAAATATTAACTGAAGTGAACAGAAGTATTGACGAAATAATAGAAATAGATATTTTAAGTAGAGTTGATAATACAAGATGGATTTTACCTATGATGTTAGTTTGTAAAAAGGGTGGTAGTGGATAATCACCATATATTATCGGTATTTTAATAAATATATATTGTTGATATGTATGTTTTATCACATATGAAACATATGTTTCAAACGTTTTATGGTACTAAATAGTTTTCAAAAATACATCATAAAAATTAATTTTAGAGTATTACATTATGAGAAACTAGTAAAAAATATACTGAATTTATAGCATCTATGTGCGAAACATTTATATTTAATGTATTAATATTTGAATTAATAACTATTCCTCACAGTTTTAAAAAATAATAGAAAATATTTTTATGAACCTAAATTAAGAAAGTTACATAATTTTATGTGACAATAATATCATCATTTTTACAGAAACTATGTTTTAATATTTTAAAGCATTGGGCGGAGTATATAAATTGCTTATTGATAACAATTTAGGGATAAATGTGGACTAGTGTGAATTCATCAAGACTCCTATAGCATATTTAGTACAGAACATTGACAACAAAGTAATTAGAACTTCAGTGAATAAGGAAAAGACAATGATTTAAATAGAACTACTTAAATCTAAGAAACATCTAAGATAATTTATAGGAGGTGCTAATTATTATAAAAATTATATTAAATACTTTTCTGAATGGGCTTCTAAAATAGTTACATTATTAAGAAGAAAAAATATATATGAAATCGAGAATATTCCCAAGCATTTGAGCAAATAAAAGAAAAGGTGACTGAAATAAATTATCTATCATTTCCTAAAACGTAACCTTGTACTGTTTATATTAACTACCCTGATAACGTTATATAAGATGAATTGACACAAATAAATGATGGCATTGGCTAAACGAGATTTATTTATTATACAACAAAGGAATTAAATGATGTTCAACAGAAATAGAGAACATTAGAAAAAAAATTATTTTCAATAGTCATAGATTGTGAAACATTTTATTATCATATTAAAACATTTAAATCATTTATTAATAAATATTATAAAAGAATAATAGAAGCATATTTTATTAATACTGGAAAATTATATAGACAAATGATAAACTTCAAAATTTAATTTAGAATTTGAACACATTGGAGGAGTTCAAAATAGTTTAGTTTATTGAATTGCTACATCAGTATGCAGTAAAAATGTTATCCTAATTATATGGTGTTGTATTTTGATAGTCCTTTAAAAAAGTGAGAAGACCCTTATTCTATAATTTCTTACTAATAAATAGTTGATACTACACGAAAAAGTAAGAATTATGTATCAATATATGTTTCATGGAAAAACTACTTGTCTATTCATTATAGGAAAGGACTGTTATATATATCATAATGGTATAGAATTAATTTAAAACAATAGTTTTGCAGTAGTAAATCCTCAGGACATTTTACTGTCAATAAAATTTTAAAAAAAAAATTCAATGTCGTGTTTGGTGATCTAATATTAGTTATAATATCGAAGAATATGTTACAAATTTTCTAGTTTGCAAGGTAATCCATAGTAGAAAATTTAAGGCTAAAAAGAACCACGCTTTAAAGAAACCTAATATATTTGATAATGTTTCTTTAGATAACATTGACTTTATGACATATAAAGAATAAGAGTATTTTATATAAGTAGCTACCGATCATTATTTTCTTATAATGTTAACTACTGCCATTAAAAGAACGTTTATTGCTGGTGATGCGATTTCTATGATGAAAAATACCTATATTCCTGTGTTTTTATACCGAAGGAGTATTTTAACAAGCCGTGATTCTATTTATATGAGTCAAGAATTTAAGAATATATAGTCAAAGAATTACAAATAAAATTATACAATACTATTGTTTATTATACCCAAGGAAATAGTATTAATGAAAATTATAATGAGAGTCTTGATTATTTAGTTAAGATCATATGTGAAGAAAAAGGTATATCTATTGAAAAAGTAGTGATAAATGAAGCATTGATATATAATAATGTGACTTATGGATTTATAGGAAAAACAATACATTTTATTATTCTTTGAATGGATTGTATATATCCTCGTTTTTAAAGATTATTAACAGAAAATATATTAAAGATAACAACTATTTATTTAAATGATATATGGAAACAAATGCATAAATATATGAATAAGCTTAGAGAAAAACTAGTGCATGTATTTAAAGATATAAATAATGTAAAAAATAGTATAATTTCATGGATTGTCAAAATATTAATAGAATAATTTGAAGCATCATAGTTGTAATAATTAATACAAACATTATTGATCTTTCTCACATAGAGTAACCAGAATTGAAGACGGAAAAATTTAAGAAGTATCTGTATTCCACAGAGTTAAAGAAATTCAAATCCCACCTTCTAAGATCAAATTGTTAGTTAACAGTCCACAAAATATATATGAGACACAATTAAAAAAATTTTAATAGTTACTACCATGAGCAATAATAAGAGTCTGAATTTTACATAAAAGTTGAAACCTGAAAGTTATTTTGATATTTGTGCAAGAACATTTCTTCATATGATATTAACAAGAGTAATAACAATAATAAAATAAATTAAGATATAAGAAAGAGACTTGATATTATAAAATAAGATTAAAAAACTTAGCATGAAATTTTTATCTTTATCTGTGTAGAAAATTGTGATCAATAAAGGATATAAATAACTCTTTTGACATTTTATATAATAATGGATTGTTTTTAAAGATTGCTTATGCATGCAAGATAATTAATATACCTATACAGAGATATGTCTGAAGACATATGCAACAATATTTTGTATACATAGAAATATTACAAAATGATTTTCTAAAAACATGTGTCTTCTGAAATGCAGTAGTTATTTATGAATATATTTATGATAAATGATCTATATTATAAAATAATTTTGTTTGTTTTTTTTATTTTTTAATTTTTTGAGATAGAATTAAGAATGTTTTTTTTTTACAATTTTTAATAAAAACTATTGAGAGAAATAATTAAAACTATGATGTAAGAAATAAATATGTTTATTTTATTGAAAACAAAAAATTATATAAAAGGTATATAATTATCCATTCAATTTTAAAATAAAGAAATTTAGTAGGTATCTCTCTACATATTCTTCATTAATTTGACCATTCATAGTACTATAAAATAAAAGCCTTCGGATGGTTAATAAATTAGTGTATTATTTTTCACAAGTAACATTTATTCATAATGTTTTATATGTTGTTAAATAAAAAAATTCATTTTTATTCAAATAGATATTTATTTGGAAAAATTATATTAAAAAAAATAATAAAGATAGGTAAAAACTGTTTATATTAATAATATAAATATATATAATGAAAAACAAATATTAAAATGTTAAATGAAATTATTTATATCAATAAAATATATAAACAAATACCTATTTATTCAATTAAATATTTTTTTATATAAAGTGTATTCAATTAAATTAAACATTATAAAATGCGCAAATAAATAAGTAATTTAATCTATAAAAAAATAAATGAACAAAATAAATATATTTTTTAATTATACTAATATGTAAATTCTTATAAATTAAATATTCTATTTTTTTCCTTATATATGCATATATATATATATATATGTTACGGACATTAAAAAAAAAGCTGAATAAAAGTTAGATTATATTTGATTTTTTAATAAAAGAATGAAATAAAGAAAAAAAATTAAAAAATTTTAATTCAACATAAAGTTATTTAGAAGTTTCCTTTTATGTGAATATTAACAATAATTCATTATTCATAATTAAAAGATACAAAATTATTGTGGTATATTACACTAATGACAATAATAATATATTTATACTTAATTGAAATTGTTAAAGGATTTTTATTCCATAATAAACAGTTTTTTTTATAGTGATAAGATAATATTACTTATGTTTTTTTTCTTCTTACAAAAAATTATATCACATAGATAATAATTTAGTAATGTATCTAAATAGTATAACATTTTTATTTTATTTCAATTCTTCCAACAAAAATTCATCAATTAAATTATTCGTATAATATAACAAATGTAAAAATATTTCCATATGTCCATTATCTTTTTCATTCATTTCTTTTTTTGATAAATAACGAGCAAATGCTTTATGAATTTTTCTTAAAAAAGTCAACAACGTATAATTTTTATCTGTAATAGTACTCATTAAGTCATGTAAAGATGATATATCACTTTTTAAAGCATTATATAAACTTTTATATACTACATTTAATTCTACATCATTTATTTCATCTTTTAAAATTTTTAATTGTACGAGAAATTCATTCCGTAATTTTTGTGATGAATGTGTTTTTTTAGATAAGCATTCTATATTTTTTTTTGATAACATTTTTCTTATTGTTTTATAGACACTTTCAACTTTATTATGCTGAGTACGATAAGATGAGTATCTTACTAATTTCATAAGGGATATATGCAAATTATGTGCAATATCTTTTTTAGCTTTACTTCTTAATAAAGAACCGAAACTCGTTTTACTTACATTCATTTCTTCGGAATTAATATTAAAAAACGCACAGGTTCTTTCACAAGATTCTGAAATATACTTTTCTTCCTTTAATAAAAGCTCTAAAACAATTTCTATAACTTCTTTCATGAAAAGATTATTCTCATCTATTTTTAATTTATTTCTATTATTTTCATTTGTTTCTTGAAGAAAATGAAAAATAATTTGTAACATCTTTATGTGATCTAAACTAGATATATTCATTTCTTTTAAATTTTGTGTAGAAGCACGCATTTCTGCTCTAGTCAAACCCAAGTCATTCAAAGCTGAATTTATATAACTTTGAGGATTATAAGTTGTATACATATTTAATGACAAAGTAGTTAGAGACTTTTCAATACATTCTAACGTATTTTTTATAGATTTAAACATTTTAAGAAATGCAGGTATTTCATCATTTGATGGCAGTAAAAATGTACCAAAAAGTATACGATTAAAAGTGAATTCATTTATAACTTTTGATATCATTTTGACGGTATTAATATATAATGTAATCTTTTTTTGTAAATCCTCAAAAATTTTTATGATAGTATCTAAAGAATTAAATATTTCATGTAAATTAGTAAAGGGCTTTTTTAACTTGTTTTTAAATGGCAACGAACAAACACTTAATTTCTTTTGTATATGATAATTATGTTCGTTAATATAAACGTAATGAAGTTTAATTTTATTCAAATCTTCTTCATCAGCATTTTTTAGTTCCCTTTCTATAATATTTTTTAGTATATTAATATTTGAATTATAACTTCCACGGATAATATTATACTTTTCTTTTAGTACTTCAAATATTTTCCTTAAATGGGGAATTATACTTTGTGAAAGTTCACTAGATTCCATTTTAAAAATATTTTTTGAAATATTTAAAGCAAATAATTTAATATCTGTGCTTCTAACAATATTGTTTTCTAAATTGCTCGTAAAACTTTCATCCTTTAAATTAATCCCATATTCATCATCATGATTTTTTTTTTTTTTTTTTTTATTATTTTCACTCTCTTCTTCTTGTTTCCTTTTTAATAATATTCTTTTTTCTTGTGTAGTATATTTATCATATGAGCTAGAAGAAAAAATAAAAAATGTTATGTATGTATAATGTTTAAAATAAGAAATTATATATATATGCATATATACAAAGAAAAAAGAAAGAAGATAATTCATACCATTTGGAGGTAGAAGCATTAGATGAATTCTTTATCATGTGAGAGCTATCCCTTAAGTGATGATCACTGTCTTGTAAATATGGAGCAATATTATTTAAATCAAATGTTTCTCCTAAATTAGCAAGACGGTTTTGTGAATCAGTGGTATGGCAAGGTAAATTATGGTGTATCTTGTTTGATTCAGAATTTATATTCTCTGAATCATAGGTTGTTCTTTCTAAATTAGAGATATGATTCTGTATGCAAGATATATCATTTTGTGAATTAATGGTATTGTGTTGTGAAATAGATAACATATCTTGTGAATCAGAGGTATTATGATCCAAAGAAGAGGTATTATTTTGTGAAGATATATAATCTTGTAAAGAAGGGTATAAACCTTCAAAATTAATGTTTTGAAATAAAGTAGGTTCTACTTGGTGTAAATCACATGAAGTGTCTCCGGACTCAAGCAATGAATTATGTAAGTAATTTATATCTTGGGAACAAAATATGTTTTTTTCCAATTCATAACTAGTACCCTGTAAATTAGATTCTTCTTTTTTAAAATCATGAATTACATTCTGTGAATTTAGAATAATATCTTGTAAATCTTCAATTAAATGTTGCAAATCGGAACTAGTATCCTGTAAATTAGTTTCCTCATTATGAAAATTAGAACTCATATCCTGTGAATTCAAAATATCTTGCAAATCTTCACTTAAATTTTGCAAATCGGAATTAGTGTCTTGTAAATTAGATTTTTCATTAAAAAAATCAGGAATCATATCCTCTGAATTGAAAATATCTTGTAAATCTTCACTTAAATTTTGCAAATTGGAATTAGTATCTTGTAAATTAGATTCTTCATTAAAAATATTAAGAATATCCTCTGAATTCATAATATCTTGTAAATCTTCACTTAAATTTTGCAAATCGGAACTAGTATCCTGTAAATTAGATTCTTCATTAAAAAAATCAGGAATCATATCCTCTGAATTCATAATATCTTGTAAATCTTCACTTAAATTTTGCAAATCGGAACTAGTATCCTGTAAATTAGATCCTTTATTATAAAAATCAGGACTTACATCCTGTGAAGTATCTGATATATCTTTTAAGTACAGTAAAAGTTTCTTAATTTCATTCTCATCTTGAATTTCATCCACTAAGATAGGTAATTCATTATTGTTACCTTTGATTTGTCTAGAAATAAAAATAAATAATTAAATGAATATACATGTATATATTTAGAGAAAGGGTAATTTTAAAATATAAGAATTTTTTTTTTAAAATTAAAACTTAAAATAAAATATGTACTCTTTTAAATTGGGACTTTTTTCACTATTTTTAATTTCTTGTGAAATAGTAATTTTTATTAATATACAAAGTTGCCAAATAAAAAGGAAATATATGTTGCATAGCATTTGTTCTAAATCTATAACTTTAATCTTTCAGAAATAAATAACATTGAACCACACATAGTAATTTTACAGTTACATAATCAATAAAATTAATTTTATTTTTTAAAATAATCTCTAAATATGTTTTAACTTTTTTAGTAAAAAATATTTCTCTATTTTTCATATTTTTAAAAATAAACATATTCTACTAATTATTTTTTCCTTTAATTATCATTTATTTATTGATATGTATACATATATATATGTTTTATCTAGTAAATGATAGAATGCTAAGCGACTTTTGAAAATATAGAATTTAGTTCTTTGTATGTTACTATTTAATATATTAATTTGACAAAATTCAGATATAAAATAAAATATTAAAATAAAGTTCAAAGAATCAAGTTAATTTATTAGTGTATATATAGAAATTTCTACCTTGTTGTATAGAATATGATTTTAAATTACATTCATAAATCTATCTTATAGCATTCTATTTTATTATAATATTCTTAATTTAAAATTTTTCATCATAATTCATTTCTAAAAATTTAGAAATGTAATTTATTTTATATTTTTCCTTTTTAATACACTTTTTGAAGATTTTATTTAGAATGGTATATATATATTTTTTTTTTTTTTTTTTTTGCTATTAGATTCAAACATATATTGTACTTGATTTTAAGAAAAATAAATAGAAAAGTAGGCTAATTCATACTTGTTAAAGAAATTCAAACTAATAATATTTCTTTAAAAATGCATGCATGTAATGTGATATATTAAAAGCTAAAAATTATTTAATTAAATTGAAATTAAATATAAAAATTTTATTTATCTCAATCAACAAAATTAAAAAAAAAATATAATTTAAAATTTTTTTTTTTTAATAAAAATATTATTTTTTTATGGAGATGACATAAGCAATATCATTTTTATTTATTCAAATATACTAACATAAAATGCATTAAAAAAATAAAATGAAATAAAATGTAGAATTAAATTTTTTAATAATTATAATTTTATATGGGGAATAATATTTATATAATAGAAGTTGAAAGAATAAAAATGTCATAATTTTGATTACATATCAATTATAGTAAAAAAAAATATATATGGATAAACATTTATCAAATTATTAGATAATTAAAATATTAGTATTATTATTATTCTCTTTATATTTTTTAAGAGGAACATTTGGCAAAATTAAAATTATAAATTTTTATTCTAAAAAATATGCGAAAGAAATTAAAAGAAAAAAATATATTCAAATAAAAGTTGCATTTGATATGCAAATATTTATCTAGGATGTTTTGTAAAAAATTTCGCAAAAATAATTAAAAGAGATAAACATAAAAGGGAGTATCTTTATATTAATATTTCTCATACTTAATTGTGGGTAAAACTTAAAGATTATTAACAATAGTAAAACAGAAAGTTAAAATTTTTATTTACGTAACAAAATTAAGACAAATAAAAAATCAAATTATAAATTGTGAAATTTTATCTATTACATTTTTTATGAACAAATTTTTTTCTTATTTATGTTATGCACAAGATAATTCAAAGTAAATTTTTAAAATTTTTTCTTTATATTTAATGTTAATTTGACAAATTAATATTTTAGCACATATAAAATTATGTAAAAATAGTATTAAAAAAATTTTAACATTTCTGATGTTTTATGTTATCTTTTTAAATTAATTTATAGAGAAAAAATATATTTATCAAAAAGTTTTTATATGTGCAAAATTTTTTATTAAAACTTTGCGTAAAACGAAAAATTAGATTAATATTTTTAAATAATATTTTATATTTCTTTTTTTTTCTCGAATAATTACAAGAATTAATAATATTTTAAGGCATGTATAACAGCTTAAATAATTCTAAAAAACAAATTGCATATAACTTATTATTAGGAAAATGTTTTTATAAGTTTGTGAAAAAAAAGTAGCTAAATATAATTTTATGTTTTAATTATTATTCTATAGAATTTAAAAAATAAACACATGAAACTATTTATCTTTATTCAATATTGCAATTGCTATCTTTGAATATAATTAGAGAATCCAGTTTTCTTCTTTTGAATTTTTATGTGTAGTTTTTCATATATAAATAATATTCAAATAAAAATAGGATTCATACGCAATAACATAAATACATACAAATTAATATATATATATATATATATATATATATATATCTCATATTTTTTAACAATTCTTTTAAATTGAAATTATGTTGACATAAGAGATGCTATTTAATAAAATATCAGTTTATTTTATAAATCTTTGATGAATATTCTGAAAGTTTCATATTCGGGAATTAATATAGAGAATGAACAAAGGAATTATGTAAAACTATGAAGTTATTACACAAGTGATTTTTAAAATATATATATTTTATTTTCTCCATCAAAGAAATTTATGAAAATGGAAATTGTTATTTATCCTTTTTAATAAATCAAAGTATAATATTAATTATCTTATTTACTTTTTTTCCATTTTTAAATAATATTCTTGCTTTTCATATTATTGTTACATAAAAACATAATTTGTTGTATATAAGTATATTAGCCTTTTATATAAATAAATTCATATAATCATCACTTTCATCAAATATGTAACTTATTTAGTGATTGAACTAATTTACTAATTTTATTAGTTATAAATTATAAATCTTTATAATAATTATGTAATGAATATGAAACGGATTTCATAAATACAACTTCAATTTCATTTCTTTTAATTACTACACATTTTGATAGAGTAATAGTTTTCAACTATAAAATAAAAAAGGATTATATAAATTTTTTTTATTCTATTTTAGTCATTTCAAACAAGTGATATTGAATTATATATGTATGCATATTATTCTATATTACTTACAATAGAATGAAAAAAACATATTATTACCTTAATTTTATGATAATTTTAAGAATAATATATTAAGTTATATTGTTCTACATTTTATATATTTCTAGATGGTATCTACTGTTACCTTATCATTTGATTTGTCTGTTTTCCAAATAAAAAAAAAGGAAACAAAAACATCTTTTTATAAAACACATTTAAACTTTACAATGTTTATTTTTTTTTTAATTATTGTAATTATATTATTTTAATAAATGTAGATACATATTTTATAAAAAAAAAAAAGTAAAAATGACTTTTCTATAAAATTTTTTTTTATTGTGCATTTTGACATAAATAATAGATGCTTAGAAAAAAAATGTTCTAAGATTTCTTTTAATATTAATTATCTTATTTTTAATTGATACTTGTATTTAAATTTCTTTTCATTTTACGTGTCTTATAAATCATACTATTGCTTCCATTTTACCGTTTTTATTTAAATGTAATTAATTTATTAGGTAAAAAACTCTCAAACACTACAATTTTTTTATTTTAATTTCTTTATAATATTAAAATTATTATTATTATTATTATTATTATTATTATTATTATTATTATTATTATTATTATTATTATTATTATTATTATTATTATTATTATTATTTTAATTTTTTTTTTATTTTATAATTTAATAAACTCACAAACAGCTAAAATATTGTTATANTCTCAAACACTACAATTTTTTTATTTTAATTTCTTTATAATATTAAAATTATTATTATTATTATTATTATTATTATTTTAATTTTTTTTTTATTTTATAATTTAATAAACTCACAAACAGCTAAAATATTGTTATATTTTTATTAAACGTTTATTATTTTTTCTAAATTATTTATAAATTTATATCAACTAAAAAGGAAACTACTTTTTAATATAGGAATTAAGATGTTTTAATAATTTAGACTTGGTAAATATAAAAAAAAAGAGAATGCATTAAATTAAAATAACTATATCGAATATTAATTTATTAATGCATAAATAAAAAGAAAATTAAAATAAAACTACAAATTTTGCTTAATAATTGAAAATAATAACACTGTTGAATTTATCTATACATATTTATTAAATGTTGTAATAATACTATATTTTTTTTAATATCACTAAACTTTTATTTTCTCTAATTGTAATTAAAATAATTACTAAAATTATGTTCATCATAATTCGGAGGAATTACTTTTGTTTTGTTAAATTTTATAAGTAAAAAAAAAAAAAAATTAACTTGAAATAAATGGTAATTTTATTAAGAAATATATATATATATATATATATATATATATATATATATATATATATATATATTACTTTATAATCGATAAATTGTAATAATTAACACTTGGATTTCAAAAATATGAAAAAATGGAAAATTATGCAAACATATATATCATACATAAGAAAACAAATTGATAGTAGAAAAGTTTAAGAAAAATACTAGTAATAGTATTCATTATGAGTAATTTAAAATAGAGAAGATACAATAAAAAAAAATCACTGAAGTTGTTTAAAAATATTTGAAAGTAATAACTAAGGAACAGAAAAACAAAAAATTTAGCTTATTCATTTAGAATTCTCACTTAAAAATATTTATTAAAGTAAATAACTTATAATTTTAATTTCTTTATAATTAATTCTCTATTGTTTTGTTTTTTACTATACTTCATTTAATTTCATTAAAATGAAATATTAATATTTTTCATTATATAAATTTGTATTAAGAAAAATTGATGATTTTAATAAATAGTGAGATATTAGAATGAAATAATCATATAGTTGCTTATTTGTATCAACTATTTAATTAGTGATTTTATTTATTTTCTTATTTATGTAAAAAAATATATATTTTTTCATTGAACGTTTTTTATTATATCATAGAATTTTTTTTTTTATTATTTTCTGACTTTTTTATTCTTGATTTTTTATTATTTTTTTTTAGAACTATAATAATTTAATTGAAAGATTATCTTTAAAGAATAATTTTAAATTAAAGTTATTATTTTATGTTAGTTTAATGTTATATGTCAAAGCATGCATAACCGAGTTAAAATAAATCAATCATAATTTTCAAGATAATTATACAAGTTGTTCGCACAATATTATAGAAATCATAATTTA